CCCGACGTGTGTCGCCGTCACCACATCGGCCACGGTCGGGTGCTGGGCGGGTGCGGGGGCGGGGGCGGGGCCCGAGTCGGGCGGGGCAGGCGCGGCGGCGGGTGGGGACGCGGCGGCGGCGGAGGCCTCCATGGCTGGCGTGGGGCGCGACGGCGGGAGGAGGCGGCGGGAGGAGCCGGGGAGGCGGGGATGAAATTTCCCTCCCGCGTGAGAGGAAAGAGGAGTGCGGGTTTGGGGGAGTTTTTCCTCCCAACCCTCACTTCTACAGGTTGGGGAGCAGTTTGAGGGTTGGACCTCTAAATTTATTTACGGGTTTGAGGGTTTAGAGGTTCTAGTCTACGGCTATTTTTCGGCGAAGACTGTAAAAAAGCAGTTATTTTTAAAGGTTTGAGGATTTGAGGCCTCTACTAGACTTGCTCTTAGACTCCTGCGCCGAAGCCACTCCTGTACCGCTACGCCGGGCGTGGATTGCAACGAGCCAATGGCGTGCGGGAGCGGAGAAAAATCTTAGTACCAAACCAGGTCTCACAAGCGTACGCACGTACGCGTACATGCGTTTCTTTCTTTTTCCTTTTTTCCTCCTACGCTACCACGCGCCATGCATGCACTCACTTCGTTTTTCCTTTATAAATAAGTTAGAAATCCCGGTCTCCCCTGGCACATCAGCAAATCCACTCCTGAAAGGGCAACAAGGTCCGGGATTAGGGAGGACACGGTATAGACTTCAGGGATTTGAAGGTGAGGGTTCGTTTTCGACGAGGCCTACAGACTTCACTCCAAGCCAGGATGTGAGACCCATTTGAATGTGCGATACAAGGCGATGACAATCTCAAAGCATCCCATTCCCACTCGCCATCAATTCTCAATTCCAATCGCTCGTTCCCACTTCCCAATTCCAAAACCCATGTACTTCAGGCCCGTTCGGCAATCCACCGACTCCTTAAAATCCACGGATATGGGAGCACCTCTTTGCCTGCTCCGAGGTTTCTAACTTCAGCTCCGTCCGCTCCAGGAGTGGAGGCGTGGAGCAGAGGGACACCGAACGGGCCCTTCATCATCATGCTAGGCACTTCTGATTACGATCCTGTTTTTTCTTTTGCGAGAAGATTACGATCCTGTTATTCTTGCTTGCGTCAATGGCGGATACACCGCAGGGCCTTGACGGCGCGGCCAAACAACATGATGCAACCTCTCGTCCATGGCCTCGCTGCAGGAGCTCGTCGCCCGCCGACCTGTCGGACGACTCATCCATGGCGGAACCATGCCACACTGTTGGCTCGGCGAACGACACGTTCAGGGACAGTGCGCTAAGGTTTCGTCGCGGACGGCCGGATAAACTGCCCGTGGACGGCGGCCGTACGAGACGACAGTCGAATGACGATAGCGACCATACCAGACGCCGATGCCGGTGGCTGGCCGTACTCCTTGTCGAGGACTACTCCATCCTCGGTGAGCGAGAGAAACGTATTTATAACCGAAGCGTTTTCTGTTAAAACAGTAATGGACCCAGAAGTAGTGATTTTTATTGCAGAAAAATCCGTGATATTAAAACCTTAACAACTTTTTATTCCCAACTCCAGATGGATTAATTCTTTCTCTGACATTCTTTATTTTTCATCTAGTTTATTATAGTATCTATTTCAAAATTTTCCAAACAACTTTTTTTACAGTTTTCAAATCATGTTGTAATTGCATTATTTTGAAAGTAGGATATATGGAGGGAAATGAATTTTCAAAGCTTATGGAGTGCACCCAACTTTTCTACATGCCCAAGGCAAGCATCTTGGACACTTGATATGATGACTGC